CCCGAGGCGCCCGCGCAGCCCGTGCGCGGCGCGGCCGTGCCCGGGGGCAGCCCGGGGCGCCGCGGGGCTCCTACCTGAAGCAGTCGGCGTGCCAGTCTGCGTTCAGGGCCTGCAGGTACTGCCCGTCGTAGATGCCGTGGCCGCAGCTCGCACATACAGGCAGGTCGGTCCCTGGGAGGGCGGCGGGGCCGTCAGCGCCCACGGGCAGCCCCATCCTGCCCCCAAGCACCCACGTGACGCCCCGTCGCCCCTCTGAGGTGCCCCCAGCCCCCAGGRCCCTGCAGCGCCGGTGCGCTCCATCAATGGGCTTTACATAACGGGGACGGGTCAGCGCGCCCACGTCCCCAGGGCAGGGATGGCGCCCAGCACGGGGCAGCCCACGAGGGGGSCAGCCCGCTGGGTGTCCCCAGGGCCTGTGACCAGCCGAGGGGGCAGCAGGAGGACACGGGTGGGTGTTGGGGGTGCAGGGGTGTCCGGGTGCCTGCGCCCGGCTGCACAAGGGGGTCCGGGGGTGACGGCAGCCAAGGGCCCAGGGCTGGTGGTGCGAGGGGAGCAGGGACACGGAGGGACATGGGGGTACAGAGGGACACGGGGAAGCAGGGCATGCGGGAGGGCCACACAGGGAGGGCTGTATCCTGCAGAGCGGGAGGATGTGGGGACATGCCGCGGGGCGCAGGAGGGGTGCAGGGACACACGCAGGGGGACGCAGAGGGGTGCAGGGTGGAAGGCAGGGTGCACGCTCAGGGCTGCAGGGAGGCAGCGCGTGGCGCGAGGGCTGTGGGGGCACCGAGGGCGCGGGACGGGCGCAGGGTGCAGGGGATGCAGGGTGCCGGGGATGCAGGGTGCAGGCGGGGTGCAGGGTGCAGGTGGGGTGCAGCTGCGTGGACACGGGGGGACGCGGACAGAGGATCCAAGGGTGCCGGGGAAGCAGGGGGTGCCGGGTTGATGCAGGGCAGGACAGAGGCGGGTGCTGGGGGCGCAGGGGGGCACTGGCAGTGCGGGGTGGGCACGGGCCGGAGCAGGGAGCCCCAGGGCAGGCAGGGGGGCTGCCACAGGGATGGGAGAGGGG